CTTAGATAACTTAAAAATGTTATTGTTTGGCTTTTTTCAGTGTTTTATTTGTTGGTGAGTAAATCGGTTTGGCTGAGATTAAAGTTATTAGATTAGATTAAACAAAACTAGATAGCAAGGAGCAGATGGCAGAGTTTCACTCCACCGAGAGAGCTTGTGATGTTATTCTGAAGGCTAGACTGTCCAATTTCATAGTCGCTCACTTTCGGCCTACACGGCTTTCGGAGGACCCGGCCCACTTAGACCGCAAAGGCCGGGTCCTCAGGAGGATGCAGCCTCTGAATTTGGACAACCCCACTGTTTCCAGCCGTACAATAATAACATTGACATTTAATTTATTTTATCCGATAAATTCTGTGGTACTTTCAAAGGTTTTTCCACCCACACGTTTCACCAAAGGTTATCATATGGGGATTTTGGCTCATTTGAATGTCTTTGCAAAGTTGAGAGATATCTCAGAAATGTTTGTTAATTAAATTACTCTTAAGGTCCATGTCAAAGTTTCTCAGTTTCACTCAGCAGCTTTATTTTAACATTTACACTAATGAAAAAACAAAACAAGCTGCAAAGGAATTCTGCCCTAGATTTGTATATTTCTTTCACTGTGTAAGATATGAGTGTTATCTTAACAATTTCTGTGTATTTTTTTTCTAATTTGTAATTTTGTCGTGTAAATGGAGACACATCATTTCTATATTTTGATGGACATCATCCTCACTTTCTGCAGGTAGTGGTTGGGTGTGGAGTGGGGATAGTCACCAAAAATATCAGCATGTCTTTTTCAGATGCTAACTGACCTTCAAAAACAGTTACCTCCTGACTTCCAAAAGCACAAGCCACAGCTGCACAGAAGCAATTTAACTAGATTATCTGCATTCACTGTTATCAATACTCAGACTCTGGAGGATGTTGTGAAGTACCCTGTTCATCCACTTGTTTTTTTCAACACCAAACTGCCGACCAATGTTTTACCAAACTCTTTTCAATAGCCTGGAACTGACTATGCACAGTTTTGTCTGCAGTTTTCTCCTCTTATTTAGCTTTCAAAAAAAATCTTTTAAAGAACCATTTACATCATTCAATGTGAAATATCTACAGTATTGACCAGCTTCATATCTTATCTTAACTGGAGAAACTGAGAACACAAATTCAGACATCACAGCACTAACAGGGCAACAATAAAGCCATCTGTTGGCATTTGTCTGAATCCTGAGTAGTAAACTTGGTGTCACTTCTTTTCAGCCTTTTATAATATACTAGACAGCAGAGTGAAGAGAAGGCAGAAAAATGAAGTACGGATGGAATGACACGCAAAACGCAACCAAGAACAGACTTGAATTCAAGACCCTCCTGCAAGGACTCTAGCCCATGGTGGATGGCACACCAGCTCAACTATGTGAGCTATAGTGTCATCCCTTAGTGCAGCCGTTGATACTATGGGCCATAAAATACTTTATGAGATGGTGGAAAGTGGGTGGTACACATGTCTGTCCTCTAGCCTCAATCTTCAGGGGGTAGGTTGTGTTTTTTTTGGTGGCCATGCATCTGAGTAGTTTAGCCTGGCAGGTGGAGTCCCCCAGGTTTTGACTCTAGAGTGTAGGTCTAGTTTATTTGATTTATACATGCATCCTCTAGGCATTACTTTTCTCAATTATGCTGAAGACATTCACATTTTATTCAGCACTTATCCAACTATATTTCCATATACTAACTCAGCCAATGCTTGGAGCAAATAAAAAGCTGCAAGCAATTAAATTTGTTTCAAATTAAAATGTCTTACAATAATGAGCAAAACTCATATACAAATACCAACGAGAAGAGAGAATGAACATCGCTGTAACATAAGTGACTGAAATCAGTTTCATCAGATTTTGTAGCCAATGAGGATTACTCATGTTTTAAAATCTTTACACTGGCTTCCAGTTACTTGCTGAAACAAAGTTTGAAGTGCTTCTGATGGCTTTGAAATTAGTCAGTGATCTTCAACAAATCTTCCAAATTCCAGGGAGTAGTCAGCTGGTAGTGCCTTGAATTATATCAAGTGGGATTGCCACTAAGCTGCACAGGCATCGAGCCAGATTACCAGTTCTCTTCTCTTCTAATTTAAAACACTTCGTCTGTATCACTAGGAAAAAAGTCTGGAAGGGCAAAGTTAATGATTCTTACTGCAGACATGCTTCTCCAATCAAAATAGAAATAATGTTTGAAACATCGGGATAATATGACACAATCATTTCTCTCAATGTAACAGTAACTTTTGAGATGTGATCAGTAGCGTATTTTAGTGTTTTAACTGATATAACAAGTTGTCAGCAAATTTGCATTTGAGCCAGACTGAAATGTTTGACATGTGTTCTTGAGTACTGATTCGTGTACATAAGAAAGACATCAAGAGTCACCAGGTAGCTTCTATTTGATATATACAGTGTAAAGAAATCTCCAGAAAGTGGTTTGTGCTAATATTTATTTTAAAGTGCTTTATATTATTGTAAAAGTAGTTTCTGGAGAATTAGCAACATGTAAAGAAATATCAGCCACTGCTTATTACCCAGTTGTAAGAATCAGGTTTCAAGTTCCTACATTAGCTTTGACCTTTTAATCTTCAGAGACCATTAAATTCTTACTTTATAAAGGCCCTCATTATGTTATGTTTCTTTTATGTATTTTATTCTATTCTTCACCATATCACAACAACTTTCCAACAAAACTGTAGAGATATACGTTCAGGATTCCTTTATCTAATATGATAACAGTGAACACTTAACTATGACATAATGAGTGCTAGGGCTGCACGATTTTGCATAAAATGAGAATCACGATTTTTTGGCTTAGAATTGAGATCACGATTCTCTCACGATTTTCTTTTCCAGTATAAATATTTATTGCGCTTATTAACTGCACATCAACTTCGTAACAGTTGAGACTGAATATAAAAACAATAAATAAACATAAAAACAACAAATGTCTCACATTTTGTTGTTGCCGCAAAATGTTGTACTGCTTGAAATTCCGTCTTCACCATTGCTCGACACTGCGTGTATAGAGCGGGTAGTGCAACAATAGAAAAATAGTTGCGGGACGGCACTGTGTAGCGTTTGTCTAGGGTGTTGATCATTTTCCTAAATCCCTCGTTTTGCACAGTGTTGATGGGAGCCATATCTTTGGTCAGGTGATAAGTGATAGCCTCCGTAATTTCTTTGTGCCTGCGGGAGTTCGACGGGTATAGGGAAGCGCTGTATAAGGTTCCTGTTAATGATGTTTGGGTGGTTGACCGGGACAAATTTTCTCCAGTCACTTTCTCGTCATCCCTGACGTGCTCTCCGTTGTTTTTTCCCTGCCAATTTTAGCAGCCAGCTTCTGTGTCACGTGGTATAAGGCTCCGCCCTTGTCATTTGTTGAGCAGGAAGAGTGAGCGCTTGCTTTCATGCAGATTACGTCCCGGATCAAAATGCGGTATAATCGTTGTCGTCTTTTTTTTTTTTTTTTTTTTTAAATCGTTGTCATTTGGAAATGAGATCGCACATAAGTATGAATCGAGATCGCGATTTTCTAACGATTAATTGTGCAGCCCTACTTGGTTCCATGACTCTTCCATGTCCCTATGAGTTTATTTTCTTCTCAATACTCTTACGTAGTACTCAATACGTAGTGCAGGTTTTACACATATACATATATATAGATATCTATCTATCTATCTATGTATGTCTGTATCTATTTTTGTGTCTTTACATTTTATTGGACACCTCTCTCCTGCACTCCTGTTCACAGTCTCGTTGTTACCATAGCAACCAATGAATCCTGTGCCCTTCAAAACAATTAGCATTCAACACTGTTGCTCCTGCCAACAGTAACCACATCCACCCATCACAGGAGCTCATGGGTCTTGAAATAAAATGCAGTGTAAAGAAAATATACCAAGGTCCCCTGTGTTTGTGACATCTACGGGCCCATAGGCCATTGTTGGCTGTTCTGTATCCCGACAATATATCTGCCAGCCATAGGCAAGGACCCATAAAAAGCCCTTGGCCTTCTGCCCAACATAATCTACCATAATGAATGCATTTCTGCACTTTTGGTCTGATCCTGGGTGAATCACTGCCCTGAGTTCTTTCACTATGCCTCTGAATACAGATAGTACAATGTCCAGAATGATGGTTTCTAATTGCTTTCATACAACCCTTTCTTTGTTGATATGACAAGCAAAGCTTATTCACCTCTATTAACAGATTCTTCTCTTAATTGAGATGCATGGGATGGATTGAAGCCGGGGACCTGAAGGTTTAATTGTCAATCCAGTCCTTTTTTTGGTCCCAAAAGTAAACACTCTCAGACTGTATCAGCAGAGGTTTATCAGTGTTCTAGGCATTGGTATTTAGCCTAATAGTCAAACATTAATTTGAGAGATACTGTAACTCAATTAATTAAACCATTTTGCCAAACAACTGAATTAAACTTTTAATCCCTTCATTGACTTTGCTCAAAGACAGGAACCCACTCTCCTTCTTTCTGAATCATACTGTACACAAAAGCAGTGTCAGGTTGTCACTCATAGCAGAACAGTATTTTAAGTACACAAAATTAGTCTAAAACCTAATGTGCATTAGAGATCTAGCCTTCTTGTTCTTCTTTCTTATTCTTCTGCCTTTTGAGCTCTCCACAGAGGATCGTCTGCTTCCATCTCACCCTTTCTATAATATCCTCTTCTGTCACGTCAACCCTCTGCATGTCAATGATAGATCTAACTATACACAGAAAAAGTGTAACTTTAAGCAGAGCGCAACTCTGTTTCACAGTTTTTGTAAATCTTTTATTGATAATAAATCTTTATAAGATATTACAGTGACAGAGAACATACATCAGACAGGTAATGAGAAACCTGAACCCTTGAATTCTACATGGCCTTTGTCTCCTTACAGCAATGTTTTACTTTGTGCAGCTAAGTGGGGCTCTACATGTCCTCTGATTTCTTGTGACTTTGCTGACTTCTTTCTACAGACACCACAGCACAAAGGCACCAACTGAGGCACCAAGCAGTCTAGGAAATAGTGAGAACAACTTCTCATCTATATTGCCCACAAATTTCTGGTAAATACAATCCCAACCATAGAGAGAAGAGCCACTTCTAATCTGTAAAAAGTTTATCTGAGTAATCTAGTTCAACCAGTGATGTAGCACTTTCCTAATTGAAGTGAATCTCTGTTTTAATTCACAAATGCATTGTTAGGAATAAAATGGTTAAATTTGTTTTTGTGATTTTTGTATATACATTGCAATTGTGCTCAATAAAGAGTTGGCACTCTGTGTAATGAGGATTCAAAAGCATCAATTCAGCGCTGTGACTTGAACTTTCCTTTATAAAGTTTGTAATCTGTCAAGATACACAACTAGGAAAGGTATTGCATCATATAAGATTAAAATAGTTGAAGTGAGTCTCAAACAGAGACTGGTACAAGGTTAGAAGAGCTACATGTGGGAGAAAATCTCTCAATTTGAAAAATAAGCATAGCATATTTAGATAATTCCTTTGCTGATTTGCCAATATGCCTCTTTAGAACTAAAAAATCAATCAGTGCGAACCCTCTCAATAACCCTATCATTTATCTGGATACATGCAGTGCAATGAAAAGAATTTGCCCCTTCCTGATTTCTTAGTTGTTGTTGGTGGGTTTTTTCTTTTTTTTTTTTTTTTTAGGAAAAAAGCTATCTAAACCTTTTTAAGGCAAGAGCCATTATCCATAAATATAAAATTTGGAACAGTGGTGATCCTTACCAGGAGTGGCCGGCCTACTAAAATTATTCCACATTAAGTTCAGTGTTCATGAGTCAACAATAAAAATGATAAAAAATTATATCTATGGGAGAGTTTCAAGGCAAAAGCCACAGCTGACCAAAAAGTACACAAAAGCTCGACTAACATTTGCCAAAAATCATCCTGATGATCCCCAAGACTTTTGGGAAAATATTCTGTGGACTGACGAGACAGAAGTTGAATTTTTTGGATAGTTTGTGTCCTATTAAGAACATCAGCCACAGCCAAACAAGATGGAGGTAGTGTGATGGTCTGGGGCTGCATTAAGGTTTTGAATTGCCGTAGTCAAAGTCTGGACTTAATTCTAATTTAACTTAAACAGGTCATTCATGCTCAAGAATCTGCAAACATTGTGTAAAAGCAAAGCACATCAGTTGTTACAGTACATAGTTTTTGGCAGTATATAATTTAATGAAACTTTTTTTAAAGCAACAAAAAGTACTCCGTGAATTTAAGAATTTTTTTTCTCCACCCATCCATCCCACTATCTTCCATCATCTATCCATCCATTCATCCATCCATTCTCTTCCACTTATCCAATTCAGGATTCCAAGAGCCTATCTTAGCTACCATGGGGCTAGAGGGTGTTTATTAATGCAGATTAGACATGTGTACAGCATGGTGTATTTTTTTAATTAAATGTAGTTCATTGATCAGAGAAGTGTGAGTATATTACATGCAGAAATGTTTACTTTACCTTTATCCTCCATTAGATTTCCAGCACAGCTAAGCAGGTCATATTCTGTGGCTCAGTCTTTCACCAAAGAAGTGATTCTCTTGCCAGACCATCTAACTACACATGTGCCAAGGCGTAACAAAAAAGCTTGGCTTTTTGAAAATGGACATATAAAATCTGCACTGGAGTTTAGCTGTGACTGGGACTCAGACAAAGTAATGCAGGCGATAAGGACTGCCTTCCAGCCAGTTGTTGAAGGATGCAGGTAAGCATTAGATCCTTTTTTATAAAAAAGATTATTTTTTGTTACGTAGATTATTATACTATTAAAGGTCAACTTTGGGTATTTCCAAAAAGGATCTGGGAGCACCGATCAGATGACTGGATTGATATCTTTTAGAGTTAACAAAAATTAAGCCTTTTAATGTATTGTATTGTATTGTAGTCTGTTAGCCTTAACAAAAATTTCATATACACTATGTTTTCTTCCTCCCCTAGGCTACAGATTTTGCTGGCATGCCATACCAAACTAGTTAAGCCATCACTCTCTTCCAAACAGACTTTGAATGGAGACCTTGTGAAAAAACTGTTTCGTCAGAAGTCAATTTATGTCAGACCTGACAAGGTCATCTTATGTGAGGACAATGAATCAGTAAGTAATCCTGATCATTTCAGCAAATGTATGTATGTTCATAAAATGAGAGTGAAAAAGGCAAAGATGGATTTTAAACTCCCTTAAACATTGTCACTTGTATTATGTTTTAATACATAAAACATAAACATATTACTAATATTTATTATGACATTTTGTTGTCAGTATAATGAAATGTATTATCTGTTTTCATTTACAGACATATTCTGATGGAGAGAGTAGCCATAACCACACAGAAACGTTGAATTCTGACAAATGCGTTAAATATTCCTATCTAAAAGTCACTCCAAATAAACTGGAAATTAAGTTGGTTCAGTGTCTGTTACTTAGTCATCTTAGGCATTGTGTCTTTAGTTAAGTGTTGTTAAAATCATATTTAAATTTAGTTTAATATTTTGAGCAGGAAGAAATGTACCCCTAAATACATGAAAAGCAAAAGCTATATATGTGATTAGATGTTATTCAAAAGTTAAACTCCTGTTCTTTGTATTCTCACAGTTGAAGTTCCCTCAGCCATTCGCATTGTTAACACACAGTCCATGTCTGTTGATGATGAGGTCATCTGGTGCGTCGCTACCCAAGATGTTTGTACTGTTGAGTCTTCCATCTCTGCTGACACCCTCACAATGTCCACCAATCCTGCTGTCGTTGCTACTGATGAGGATGAGCCTTACTCCAGTGGAACATCTGCCTCACACATCTGCCTTATCAGTGGGTTCTTCTGCCAGTGTTACTGGTGACACACGTGTCTTCTCTAGTAACACCTCCAGTGTGTCCAATGGACCTACCCAGCCAAGTTTATCCAGCACATCTTACAGGTATGTGTTTTGTACATGTTTGTATCTTTTAAAAGGAACCTCCTGAGACCCAGTACTTCATTTTTGTGCACTGTAGTACACATTTAGTTTTTGCTTGTAGCTCTCATACTCTACTTGCCACTCATCTAAGTCCTGATGTTTCTTAGAGAGGACAACAGTACCTTTAAAATGATATCACATGTGTGGGGGTGTGGCCTTGCCAATTGTTTTTTTTCCCGCCTTTTCAAAATGGCTGGCATGCCCACAAGCACATTTTATGGAAGAAAGAAAGGTAAGCATGATATTTACATTTAAAATGTTTTTTTAAAATCAGATTCTGATTAATTTTCAAAAATAAACATCTAGTAAATAATTTGAGGGGTTTTTAAGAATTAAGCTTATTTAGTTTCACAGAGGAAATGACTAATTTATTAATGTGTACTCCAGTGCACGTTGGGACTTTGTACTTGTATTTATTTCACTTTTTCCTAGTAGACAACTCTTTAACAAAGGCAGAGAGAATTCTTAACAGAGTAATTGAGTGAGATTCAAACATAGATTTTACAGAAGATGAGAGTCATGTGAGCCAGATAGGAGAGGGTGAGAACCCAGGAGGAGCCACAC